AAAAAAAAAAAAAAAAAAAAAAAATTCCCAGCCCCTCTATTTCCCAGATGTGGATCTTGGGGAAGTCACTTTACCTCAGTTTCTTCATCTTGAAAATGGACCATTAATGTCCAGTTACAGCCTCTTCCCCAGGACGCTGTGAGGGACGGATGTGACAGTAAAGTGCCTAGAGCGGGATGTAGAAAGTGGATCCTCAGAAAATAAGAACCCCAGCCTTTCTGCTCACATGGGAAGGCAGGGAGCTGAAATACTTTCTGCTTATTCTAAGGCATTTTCCCCTACCCCTCTGTCTTGCACCACTCAGAAAGGGCAGGAGCTACTTTGGAGAGATTTTGATTTTATTTGTTGTATAACTATCAAAATCTGCCCTAACAACTGATATCTAGGCTTTGTGACAGGAAGCCACAATAACTTTCTCTTGACCTGCAGCTGCCCTGAGGATAAAAGATAAAACAAAGCTGGGGAGCCGCTGAGATGATCAGGCCTGCTGCACGGGAAAAGGGCAGTATGGGCTCCAGGCCCCATACTCAGAGACCTCTGAGGGAGGCAGAGGCAGGCAGATCACTTGAGCCCAGGAATTCGAGACCAGCCTGGGCAATGTGGCCAAATCCCATCTCTACAAAAAATACAAAAATTAGCTGGGTGTGGTGGCGAACGCCTGTAGTCCTAGCTACTGGGGAGGCTGAGGTGGGAGGGACGACCTGAACCCAGGGAGACGGAGGTTGCACTAAGCCAAGATGGTGCCATTGCACTCCAGCCTAGGCAACAGAGTGAGGCTATATCTCAAAAGAAAAAGAAAGAAAGAAAGAAGGAAAGAGAGAGACAGAGAGAGAGAAAGAAACCTCTGGCAAGCTGTGTGGTTTAGCCAAGTAACTCACCCTCTCTGGTCCTCAGTTTCCCTGTTTGCCTACTTCCCATGTATGAGGTTCAAATCAGATTGTGCAATCCTGCGAACACTGTAGGAACAATAATCATTATGTAAGTGATCACTTCGTCAGCCCTTGCTCTATGCCAGGCACTGG